GTGGGTGTTCATGGTTCAGCTGTTGGTCCTTGGGCAGCCAGCTGAGGGCAGACAAGTCGCAGCCTGGCCCCCTCCCTTTGCACATCAGGAGTCTCTGCTCTGACGCCAGAGCTCTAGACCGTGACCCTTCCTGGGTGTCTGGTAGAGGCTTCCAATTCCAGTCACATGGCTTCTCGTTGCTTGGGGGGCTGTTGAGTGTCTCCAGGTGGCAGCAGCAGGGCTGCTTTTATTTTCTAGTGTTGGTTCCCTGCTGCAGTTCTGTCCTGTACTGCTGATTTTCCTCTCCACCCCTAGCAGTTGCCCTGAGATGGGCTTCTGACAGTTATCCATGCTCTGCCTTCCAGATAGCTCTCCTCTTGCTACATCTGCCACACTCTGGGGTTTAACTCCCATGTGCTTAACCTTCCATTCAAAACTCAAAATATTTTAAAATCACATGGCTTACTTTACACATTCTTACACAGTTAAATGTCTGACCAGCACTAGTGGGGATTTCTTTATCAAAAATGCCAGTGTAGCTCCCTTGCAGAAAATCAAGAAGAAGCTACCTTGGCTTTTTAGCCACTTAATAAAATTCTGTAGCTAGAAATGGCCAAGAAACTGTCCTTTATGCTACAGAAGTGACAGGTTTTTAAGTTTACTTTTAAAGCAAATAAAACTTAATTTACAGCTTGATAACTGTGAACCCTAAAATGAGAGAGCCGTTCCTACAGAAGATTAAAAAGATAGAACACCTTGTTCTTGTGCTATGTTCCACTGACAGGTTATTATTTCCTTCCTAGTGCCTTCCCTTCAGTTCTAAACCCAGCAACAACATCAAAGAACTCCCCCCTCTGAAATTATAGTTTGGGTATAATAACCTGTTCCTTCAGCCAGCTCATCCTCCTTTCACATAAAGCTTGTTAGTCACCTTTGTACCTAAATGAAATACAAGCTGCTCCTTCTTGAGGCTGTCTTGGATTCTGACAGCATTTCAGCCAAAACTATTCACTCTTCCACATTGGCTTTCTAGTGTTTTCTTGCAGTGTAACTGAAGCTATTTTGTACATAATACTTGTATGGATTTCAAACACAAAGTGAAGCTGTTAGTAGCTGGCTTCTACATTAACTTAGAAACTCAGGTTTAACATTATCTAGAATACTTGGAAATACCTTTCCAGCAGGAAAATCAGAGTTTTCCCCTCATTTTATTCTGTGATTGCTTAGACTCAGTTTTCCCAAGTCACAAAGAGGGTCACGACTTCATATGGACCCTTAACCAGGAAGAGCTTGACCATTCTTTCTACCTAATTTAAAAGAAACACAATTGAAGTCTGTGTTGAGGTACTTTAAGTATGTTTCAGTGTTATTTTCTTGGTACAACTTGCTCTTAAAAACTTACTGCAAATGTGTTTGCAGGCAGGGTTTGCTGCTGAAGGTGCAGAATCTGGCACACCCTTTAATGACATCAACTTGTTAGAAAAGGTACGTTCTCTTGGTTCCCCTAGCAAATCTGATTGTCTAGATTCTGTTCCCTAAGTCAGTGATCCAGAATACACACCCTGCACATTCAAGACACTAGTTTTGCCCTTTCATGGAGCCACAGGAAGGTCATGGCTGGAGAGAAAAACTAAATCAACTATGAATAACCAGTGTTACTAACAGTGTCATTTTAGAAGTACACATTTGACAGCTTAGCAGCTGACTAAGGAAGAAACACAATTTTTCTTCTAAGTCACTCAGGAATCCAGAGAGCAGACACCTGGAATACTAAATGGCTGGGGTTATTCAAAGTAGTGACCTGTTTTTTCTAGGAAGGTGCCTGCACTTTTTTCTGTGTCCAGAGATATTAAAAAATAATATAGAGACACTGTCCTTCAAAGCTCAGGATAATAACTCCAGCATTGCAAATCTTCCTTGGCCGTGAGCAGGAATCTCAAGGTCAAATTTGTTCCCTGGTATCCTACTTGGCAGGGATCTGCTTGTCTGCTTACCCACCTGACTGGGGTATTGTAAATGACAGATAATCCTTTCATCTGCCATGGCTGCTGCCTTGTCCACCACAGCCTGTGGACTACGTGTGAAAAAAACAATCATTATTAGAATAAAAAAGACTGAAAGCTCATTGAGTTTCTCTTGCTGCTCTCAGATATCAGAGCTCAGCTTAGTGACTGCACAGTCCTTTCCACAGAAATCTAAGACCCAAATTTTGAGCACAGCTTAGTTTCAGTTTGAATTCCAATCTGTGTTTTAGACATGATTGCATTCTAGCATCTGTGACTAATACTGTGAAATCTTTTTCTCCTATAGGATTGGAATGACTATGATGAAAAAACAAAGGAATCTGTTGGAATCTATGAAGTTACCCATAAATTTGTAAAATGCTAAAGTTCATACCCCTAATAAAACTTGACAGGCTTATTGATGAAACAGCTGTGACCATCAAAGACAGAGTTTCCTTGGAGTTACTTTTCCCATGGCTGTACTTCAGAAATGAAAACCTACATTGCACTTACTGTCCCCAGCATGCCATAATAAAATACTGATATTAAAAATCACTTTGAGATGGCCTCTGTACAAACTGAAAATAATATATACACTTGACTGAACTGTGCCATTTTCTTGATGTAATCTTTTTTTTGGAATATATTTGGTTGCAGTGCACTGCAGCTTTACTGTATCAGCAGTAACTACTCAGACAACTGACAGCCTTAAAGGTCTTAACAGCCTGTCCCCACACTTGATTCTCTAACATAGGCAGACAAGATACTACTCCTGTCATCAGGAAATGGCTACAAGTAGGAGTGAAGGAGTAAAGTTAACTGCTTGAGGGAAAAGATGCATCTTCAGTAGCTTTCTGCCAATTCAAGTAAAACACTGAGGTTAGTTTACTGTGAATATTAAGTTTGACTGCTCCTGACACACAATAGCTGCTACAACCTTCTGAAAATCCAGTTAGCTTTTCCACTATGTCATTAAGTAAACCTCACTCACTTCTGGTTGTAGACACTTTCTAGTTCTTGGCAAGGACTCTCACAATCTTGCCAGTGGTTCTCATAGTTAAGGATAAAAAAACAGCAACACAAATATCCCCAAAATGTTCTCTAGTGAATTTCATTCAAAGACTTTTGTCGCATTATTGTTCCCTGATAAATTATTTCCTTCATCCTCCCAAATGATCACCTTCCTTTGTTTAAATAAGCAAGGACAATAATGGTAAGTTTAAAAGTAAGTTTTAAAATAATGCTTTTCAGCTGACAACTTGGACATCATATTACAGGCTGCAGAGCAAACAGCCCTGACTAGGAGAAGTTTATAAGCCTTTGGGCTTACATATTTAAAGTATGCCTTGCCTCTTCCTAGCTCTTGCAGTTCATACATACAGTATTGCCTACATGTACTGGGACAAAGAAGAAAGACACTAGGAGAACCTGGAAGCTGAGATACCCAAACAAAGAGTAATGACAAGTAGATTTCTGAGCCTCAATCTATCTGTCACATCCAACCAACATGCTCAGACTTTTATGTTCTGCTAATATATTTGCTTGTCTGGTGGGCTGTGCTGAAAGACATGAGACTCATTAGTTTTAAACAGAGCTCTAGATGCAAATACTAGAGTGCTATTCCCAGAGAAAGACTCGCCTTCCCAGAAGGAAGAGGGGAAGGCCAGAGGGTTTATAAGGTAGAGGAGTTCAAGTTACACATGTAATGAGTAATGAATTTTGTGAAAAAAAAGAGACATCTTGTGCAAAGGGCATCTGTGTTGTAATCCCAGCATCTCTGAGCACCTCTGGCCTCTTGGCTGTCACCGGCCACTTCCCTTCTTGCTGTCACCTGCTTTGTGGTGGCAGAGTCCCAGCTGTGAACAGCACACAAGGAACTCTGCACCTATTCCATCTCCCATCCACAGCATCGCTAGGTTTTGTTGCTGCCTGTGCTCAAGCTCTACTGCAACCTTCCAAAAAGTTCTGATAAGCCTTAGTCCTCAGAATTTCTGCAACAAGCCCCAACACACTGAAGCTGCAGCTCTGGGCACTGAGAGTCTGGCATTGGCTGTGATCAATAACATCAAAAGTTCAATCTGACAGAACACAAAGACAACAGGAGACTGTTCTGTTGAGGTTACTTGTGCACAGTAAGAGGAAGTTTGGAAAGAGAATCCTGAAAGACAAAATTCAGTGATTTTTTTCTTTTTTTTTAAGGCACAAGAGCACAGGTTTAGGTAGCAAAACAAAAGCAGATCACTGGACAAACTTCATGTACAGAAGGGGAAAGCCAACACTGCAGAATGCTTTTGGGAGTATTTTCAGCCTTTAGAAGAAAGAAGAGTTATTGATAAAGGGGATACCCATACTTTAAGTTTGACATGGCAATAAAAGAACTTTATTACAATACAGTCCTTTCAAGTCAATTTAACAACACAGTTGGTGATTGAGAGTTACTTAAATCCTCCCACTTCAGTTTTGGTTTCTTAAAAAGCTGTTACAGTGGAAATCCTTCATGCAGTTGAGGCACAATCAGTTTTGATACCATCAATTCAAGTTTAAAGAGAAAATTAAGTGTGACAAGTTAGTAAGCAAGCTTACTGCAAGAGTGCAAATGTAACCACTCTTTCATATTCAACATTACTGCATATATTTTTTAAAAATCAGTTTAAGAGTGGTATCACAGTACTGTAGTCTGTCTGAACAGTCAGAACAGAGTTTATATGGGTCACAATGCTTTTTATTTCAAATAATGTGTTTTAAGAACATGTGGATCTGTTGGAACAGACAGATCTGTTACTTAATTTTGAGATTGTGAATGTCTGAATTTCCTGAAATACGCATTTAAGCCCTGTACTTTTTTTCTTTAAAATAGATACAAATTTCACAGTGAATCTAACAGTATTCAAGTACAATAGAGATAAATGAAGCCAATTAAGCTGAGCAGTCTCAGCCACGCTGAACACTGGTTAGTGTGCCAGTTAGACACAGTCTGGACTTAGTACTGAAACTGTAAACGTCCCAACACTTTTATATCTAACTACCAATTTTCTTGCCCTTTAAAACGTTAAAGATATCTTCTAGTGACTTGTATATGCACTGAAGGAACTCTTTACCATTCCTAGCTGGGTAAGAGGAAACATTACAACCTATCCAGTCATCATGTACCTGATACCCCACTCCAAAGCCATCGGACACCACGGGGCCAAACCCCCCTAGCTGCACTGCTGGGCTAGCCAAGGTGCTCGTAGAAATGATGTTGTGATTCAGCCGAGCGTAGGCTTGGTCTTGGTAGAAGTCAGGCACTGCAAGACCTTTGGATAAGGCTAAATAGCGCAAGCCAAAGAGGTGTCGGTCAAACCCTTGACCTGTTAACATAAAATAACAAGTATTAGACATAGAACTGGTTTTTGTGGGAAGTAAACTCACTTATTTTGACATCACACTATTTTAAAAGAGGAGGGCTGGGGTTTATTTTTGTGTTAGCGGGAATTCTTCTTCAGGAATTTTGCCATTTCACTGCTAGCCTCCCAGGAATCATGGCAGTAAACAAAGTGCAACGTTAGCAGGCAATTTTAATAATACATAGCATTCTTTGATTAACTATTTATCAGAACATACCAAAGTTGTTTAAAATAGAGAAAGGCTTTCCTAAAATTTACGAATCTAAAGAGGAAAAGGTTCTTGGATCAACAAAAGGAGGGAAATTTTAGACTCTTATGGGGTAATGTTCAACAGTCAATTTTACTGACATAATACAAAGTTATGCTTCTGGGAAGGATAATTGAAAAGCAAGCATTTAGAAAAATACCAGGAGTAGCACAGCCAAAGGATCAGATTGATTTGGAAGTTGTTAAAGCCTCTACTCCCTGCAGGGGTAAGACAGTAACTCCTCAGACACAAAGCCAAAGTTCTTGGTTGCCTTGGGTAGTACAACATGCACTAAGTATTTATCAAATCTTCAAATAGCCCAGCTGCTCAAAGGACAAAAACTAAAGTATAAAAAAATTCTCAACACATTAACAGTGAAGTGGGAAGCACAGAGACATTCTCCTCCATCAAGAATTGAGTCATAAAGAATACGTTTTAAACTGCAGCCTTCTGCTCCTGGTTTTGCCAAGTTTACATTCACATTAGACCTCCATCAAAATTAAATTTAGTTGTGAAGCAGATGTTTACAGCACCCTTAACAGACATTTTAGTGCAAAAGCAGGAGTTTGATATATTCCTACTTACCCATAGCAGCTTCTTTTGTCAATTTGCCATGGTATTTTGAGCACTCCAATATCAGCTTCTGAAGCTCTTCTGTGCTATGTTTGGACAGTTCCCTGACAAAAGCCTCTGAACATTTCTTTGTGTGGACAGTAGCAGGACGTATAGTTTCTGTACGACCGTGTTTGAAAGCAGCTGTACTACAAGACTCATATGTAGCAACAGTCTGATTGTACTGTCGAAGGAAAGCCATCTGGAAGGCAAGCTGAGCCACAGAATCTGGGCTTACCTTCTTCTTCTTTAGAAGGTCCTTGCCCCCTTCATGGAATTGAATCAGATTAAGAGACAGTGATTCTACAGTGGCATCAAATTTCTGTTTGGCTTGGGTAATTCCTGCTTTTAAGGCATCATTCAGCTTAAATTCGAGTTTCTGCACTGCTCTAGAAGAGTCTATGGAAGCAGGCTGGGACTGGGGGCTGATGGCTGGTGCCGTGGTGCTGTCTTTAAAAATCTCATTCTGGAACCTGAGCACAGCCACGCCATCCCCCCAGGAATGTTCAAAATTAATTCCTGCAGTGCCATCCTTAGCTATGATAAGAGTAAAGGACTTGTCAAACCAGCGGTTAGCACCATCTCCATGCAACATAGTGTGGGACAGGTGCACAAAGTCTTTAATGGGAAAATCATCTAAACTTATACAGAACACAGCAGAGTCTACTTTCTGAAGAGCTTCCTCGTTGCCATTATCCAGTAGATTCTTTCTCAGCAATGCCCATGTATCTCGGTTTTCACTGGAGAGGTAGCCAAGAGGGAAGGCTGGGGCTGGACTGTTGTCATTAAGGATGTATTTAAAGTGTGCTTGTATTTCTGAAGGTTTCAGCATATTTCCATCTCTATCAATAACATCAAACACATAAAAATGCCCATTTCTCAGTACTAATAAATGTTTTGCCTTTTCATCTGTGTAGAGCTCGTCTCTGTTGAGCTTCGGCAGCCGCGTAGAATTGAAAAGCCTGAAGTACTGCGACATATCCAGGGGGTATGCATTGACCATGTAGGCACCAAACCAAGAGAGTGAAGAAGGCACAAATCGGATAATGTTCTTAAACATCTGAGTGTCACTTTTTTCCGGATTGAGGTGAAAAACCTCTGGTTCAAGAAGACCAGCCCTGAAAGTGTTCATAAAACGTACAGCAGAAACAGTCATGTTCGTAGCTCGTATGAGCTGATCGTTATATTCAGATTTGGGGTCAGGATTAAAAGACATAAATGGATTAAAATTCAAAACAACAGGTTCACGTGCTTTTAGGTACATGTCAAACCAGGGACCTGAAAATGGAGAGTTGAGAAATAGGTCAGAACACAGAAGCAGCTTACTGAGTCAGATCAGAGGATCAGTCTCCAACAGTGATCATGACTAAACAGCTATTGAAGTGCATACAAACAAGAAAAACATATGCAATAATTCCCCCAGGGATTCTCCCAACCTCCAATGATGAAGAAAGGAACTGCTGGCTAACTGTGAAAATCCTGTGTTTGGAGTAATCTGTATCAAGAGTGTCAATGTCATTAGTGATGAGGGCCAACTTCCATGTTTTCTATATGGCTCAGTGATAAGCCATAACTCCTGTGACATACTGTGCAGGTCCCCAACACCATATTTTGGTGCACAGCTCACATTTGGAGTAGAATATATCTTTACCAACTCCTAAGCAACGAATTTCTGCAACTTTCTGCCGATGAGGGCACATTTCTCTAAACACCTTCATTTGTGATCCAGTGTTGCCCTCACTCCTGGCAGCATTCCTCCATCTACCTTTGCTGTCTCACGTTCCCACCTCCTTCCTCTTTCTAACCACTAAAATGATGAGCACAGGGCACAGCTCTTGACACTGCTGTATTACCATCGGTCTCTCAAGCTGGCAAAAAGACAAGGTTAGAGAGGACCTCACAGTTATGCTTCCAGACCCAGAAAAGATCCTTCCCAGACCTCAGAAAGCAGAATTACATTTGATACCTGCAGATCTTTTGGACAGCACGCCAGCACATCAAGAAGCACGAATGTGACTCAAAGGCTTTATGCTTGCAAAAACCAACAGAATCACTCATAGCTCTAAAAATTACTCACACCTTTACATCTGACTACAAGTCCATGAAAATCCAGGGGGCATAGGCAGACAGGGATTTTATAAGTAGGTTCTATTTCACCATCACTCTCAACTTCAAACTCTGCTCTGGTATTGCACACTGACCAGTTACAGACCAAGGAACATGTGCACACTAACTTCACCTGAAGGCAGCTGATGTATTAACCAGGCTGGATCAGTCCCCAGTAGAACCTTCTAGCTGGGCTGTACAAGAGCATTGGGTAACTCAAGGACCCAAGTTACAAATTTAATTCCAGGTTGTCACAGGTGAGTAACAAGCATTCATCTAGTTTTAAAAACACATCCGTCATCATCACACAGCCTCTCAACCTTGGACTTGAAAGTCCAGGGTAGAGGCAACTACACATACTTTCAGAAACCAATTTCAAGTGGAACAGGTCTTTTATGAGGCCTAGAAAAGAATAACTAAACAAACACCCTACAGTTCATGCACAAACATGTTGCTCGACGTGAACGGAGAGTAAAAGATAACAAGCTGAACAAGCAGCTGTTGAGAAATAATCATGTATACCCTACAGAATTTGTGGTAGCTAACACCCTTCCAAGTAGTCCTGACAGACAGCAAGGATAGAAGTGCATTTGCTGGACAGCATGCAAATTTCTGTAGGTCTTTGAGTATTTCCACATCTATTGCTATCTGTTCAATACTTTCATCAGCAGACACTTGTATTTGGAGGTCAGTGGAAGAAACAATAAGGAAAAATAATAAAAAATATGTAGACTCTTCTTCACACGCTTTTCTTTATTCTCATGTTCCTCTTCCTGTCTCTTGTTTTCTTTTGCTCTTTAAAAGAATACTTTTGTAGTTTTAGGGGGTTTTAAATCCAGAGCACTGACCACTTCTGCCTCCCAAAGCTTAGTCTTATTCTCTGACCATCCCCTCAAGGGGCAGTTTTCATGCTAAATAACTTGAAATTATTTGAAAATTATTTAGTTTCCTTAAGGGAGTTACCATTTATGCTTCTCTATTAACCTAAATATTACTAGACAGCAATGAATAAAAAAGATGAGCCCTGTAAACTTAAATACAGTAACTCATGAAAAAAATACCGTTTCTTCAGTATCCACCTATCCAAAATTCTAGTGTATAAAAGTTAGCAATGGGCATTCTTCTTTGACCAGAGACTTGAAATTTGCTCAAAACAGTCACAGGCAGTATTCACAGCATGTTATTCCAAATTTATGGAGTAGGGAACTTAATCTTCATTGTATTTTATCTGTAGCATTATGAGGTGTTTGTTATCAAGCGTGCTGATCTACACACCGCTCCTATAAGGATCAGGCCAACGTACCTGTGATGTAACTGGTATGCTTGTTCTGACTGTCTTGTGCAACCAGTTGCTCATGCAGCTCTCGGCCAATCCCCTTTTCAAAGTGATGAGCAAGTTCTTCAGTTTTCCTACAGCAATCAAAGAAAGAGTCAAAATGCTGTCTCAAGCCATGTTTTTCCACATGAAACATTTGGCTTTGAAGCAGCACGTGACACTGCATTATGCATATCTCGTTTGTCCATACCTGAATTGGTCATCATTTAAAAGTGGTTTCTGGGCATTTAGGTATCTTCTAACTGTATCTTCTAGTTTGGGAATTGGCAGTCTGAAGGAAAGGGAACAAAGCGACATACACTTTATGAGCAATGGTACTAAAGAAGTCAGAGTTTCTCACACAGTATCTCTTTGCCTCCGCTCTTCTCTGCCCTTCCTCACCTCCCATATTACCCAAACGGCTCAAAAGTTTCTTGTGGGAGAAGGGAACAGATGGATATAGGTTATCACAGCGTAAGTTTCTTGGAAAATCAGACAGAAAACCAACTTGTCGTGTTACAAAGGTCTTAGTACCTTACACAGAACCACTGCAAGAAGCAGCTACACCGGGGGAAGGCTTAGTTCAGTAGCCAGCCCTGCACGGGGACTTGCCCTCACTGCTGGCCGCTGAACACCCACTTTCTTCCTAATTTTCCCATCAGCACCTTTGCCATCTTCCGCCCAGCCTGAACATGAGAGTGCTCCTCCTGCTGTGAAACAGCCCTGTTACACGCACGGAGCTCACTCTGCAGCCCGCAGAGATGTTTCCATAGCGGGTTTATGGCCATAATTACGCTTTAAAAACTCGCGCCGTTCACCTCCACGGCGGTACAAGGCGGAACGAACAGCACGGCCCCGGCGCGCTCCGCACAGCCCGCACGTTCCTGGCCGCGGGCCCCGTCCGGCCGTCCCCCG